ACCTTCACATTCCCCACTACCCTCTGCTGTTCCTAACTATTTCAAGAGCTGAGGGGACAGAGCAATGGACCCACAAAGGGGCCATTGGCACTTGTCATCTCACTTCCTCCAGTTAGAAAGCCCTTCTCTTCATATTTGGTAATTAATGTTTTGCCCTTTCTTTAATGGCTTGCTCTAAACCCACCTCCCCCTCTCTACCTTTCCTGATTAAACCTATATTTCTGATTCACAGCCTGATGCTTGAAGCACCCTTAAACTAAGGCGACTTTTTCCTGCAAGTATTTTATCCTGTTTGGCCTGGGAGTTCACCTGGAGACAAAGGCAGTGCCCATTGCAAAAGAACATCTTTCCCACTTCCTTGTTTTTAGATTTACTGAATTCCACCCATGAAATCTACCCCAGGGGTCCAGCTGCCACAGGACTGCAGGAATTTTCAAAACTGAACCTGTCACTTGCAAAGCTGAACTAGGAGCCTCAATTGCAGCAAGGTCGGACAGACCCCACCATCTGGGGACTCCGGGAACCCCAGGACACACATGCCTTTATCCCACCCATATTCCTATGCAGTAGCTTGTCTTCCTTCTCATTAAAAAAAAGGGGGGGGGGGGGGCTGGGATTGTAGCTCAGCAGTCTAACGCTTGCCTAGTATGTGTGAGGCCCTGGGTTCCATCCTCAGCGCCACATAAAAATAAATAAATAAAATAAAGGTATTGTCTTCAACTACAACTAAAAAATAAATATTAAAAAAAAGGAGGAGGGGAGAAACTGAGACCCACAAACTTTAACAAAGCACTGGGCTTTAAAAAAAAAAAGTAAAGCAAACAACAACAACAGAAAAAAAAAAAAGAAAGAAAGAAACAAAGAAAAACAAGCAGTGGCTTCTTGGGGACATCAATGCTCTTTTTCTTGACTTGAACAATGAGCAGATGAGGTGTCTGTTCTGCTTTTGTCACTTAAACTGCACATCTGTTTTCAGGCACTTTTATATGCATGTCCTACTTCACTATTTTAAACAGTGCCTTGGGCTGGAGGTGAAGCGCAGGGATGAGCAATTGCCGGGAGCCCTGGGTTCTATCCCCAGCCTGGCTAAAATTAATAAACAAGTAAAAGACAGGAAAATGAAAATAGAACTGTGCTTTTTCTGCTGAAGGTGTCCAATAAGTTTTGACAGAACCAAGCCTTCTCCAGTGAGCTCTTCACAGGCGCATTGAAAGAACTTGGGCTGGTCATGGGGCTGAGCACCTGTGGTCACCAGCGAAGGTTGGGCCAGCAGGGAGAGAAGCTGCCTCTTCCCCACAGCTATTTGGCTTCTAACTGTTTTTCCTGCTGTTTCTCAGCAGGCAGGAAGACCAGAGTAGCACATACATGAATAGAAGAACAGGAGCTGGAACTCGATCAGTCTTGAGTCAAAGGGGAACAATGGGATTTCCAGCACCCTTTTGTCCTCAGGGAAAGACATTAATACTGCTCAGAAATTCCCAGGGAAATTATTCCTGGGGCTTTTGTGAGGGAAAAGAGAACCTCAGGAGAATCCAGGAAGGCCCATAGCCAGCACCCCCTGACCCTTCCTTTCAGGAAAGGCTCAATTCCTCTGGGTAGGGAGAAGTGAGGAGAGCAATGTCCTCCCCTGACTTCAGCCTTCTCCAGTCTCTCAGGACAGAACCAGCACATCCTTATGCTCAGTCACTCATCCCAGGCCTCGATATCTCTACATGCTGGGTTTTTTGTTGTTGTTTGCTTTTGATACTGGGGATCGAATCCAGAGGTGCTCTACCACTGCCCTACATCCCCAGCCCTTTTTTTGTTTTGTTTTGATTTTTGAGACAGGCTTTCACAAAGTTGCCCCAGTTGGCCTCAAACTTGTGATCCTCCTGCTTCAGCCTCCAGAATACTGGGGATTACAGGTGTACACCACCTCACCCAGCTACAAGTTGTATTTTTAACAGGATCTCTTTCTGCAGGGTTCCCCTAAATTCTTCTCTACTCCCATTCTCACTGGAGCTGGGTCTCCTCGATGGAGAATTTTGCTGTGCTTTTGATCAGCACACTCTGTGGCCAGATATCGCAGCATCTGCTCCCAACCAGCAGGGAATCTGGTGGCAGCAAAGGACTGGATAACGAGAATAAGTGAGTGGAGATATCAGCTCAAAGGGTTTAACAGGACTCCAACCAAGTAGCTGGGGAGTATGACTGATGTGTTAGGCTCCCAGTCTGCTAAGACTACCCCCAAGGACACACAAGGTTTTGAGTGGTAGAGACAGCTCCCAAAGTATTTACAAGCTTTGGGGACAGGGGGACAGAATGCCCATTTTCAGGTTATTTTCCTGTTATAGTTACAGTTTTAAGATTGTCATTTAATCACAGATCCCAGACATCATAGAAGAAATCTACAGGCTGGGGGTGTGGCTCAGTGGCTTGCTTAGCATGGAGGAAGCCCTGGGTTCCATCCCCAGCACTACAGGGGAAAAAAAAAAAAAAAAGAAATGTACAGTGCACAGTTCAAAACTCTACAGTGCTAAGGACCAGAGGGAGACCAAAGGTCTATGATACCTTTCGTTAGTGAAGTGTCAGTCACATCTCTTTGGCAAAGACTAAAATTCTCTCTTCTTCCTCTCCTACCATGGAGATATTTTAGACATAGGCTCTTATGATTATTTGTCCCTTTTTCAAGATGATTTTCTCCAATGCACTTAATCTATTCCGAGCCTCAGGTTGTCATAAGAAAACAGAAGCAAGATTAAGGGACTAAAAGTTCCTATTTCATACAAAGTTCAAATTTAAAACAAAAGCAAACTAGAACTGCTGATGAGCCTCAACCAAACACAGGTGCAGGGCGGGGGGTATTAAAAATGAAACTTGCCCCTTTTGGGCACCAATATCTCATCCAGAACAAGTCAGCTTCTACCCAGTTCCAGAGCCAATGGTGGAATTTTTCCATCACTAGAAAACTGTTAGCCATAGAAAACAACTTTTCCATAACTGAAAAACAAGTTTGGACATGTGAGCATACTTCTACTCCCTTCCCTCAGAAAAGTTGAGTGATCCGCCTGAGATCACACAACCAATCAAATTATGGTGGCCCTCAAATTTTGGTTGGGAAGCCTCCTTCCTATAGTAAACATGCTATGCTGAATCAGACAGAGATAAACAGGAAAAGGCTCCTGTGTTTCCCCTGCTCCCACGAGCAGGCGGCAGCTCAGCTCATATTGTGGGTTTTTTTTTTTTTTTTGGAAGGGGGTCCTCTTCTCATACCTGATCTCAATTCTGGTTCAGGGCAGTTTAGTAGTTTCAGTAGTTAATATCAAGTACAGAATTGTTGTATCTGCCCCTAACCAGAAGGAGGGTGAGAAAGAAAGAAAGGAAAGGAAAGAAAGAAAGAAAGAAAAAAGGGACGATAAAGGACGGTAGGAAGGAGTGAGGTTAAGGCAGCCTGTTGACAGAGAAAGATGCTGCAGCCCCCACACTGAGGCCAGCCCCTCTCCTCAAGAAGGCATCAGGGGGACAGAATGGAGAGTGGGGGTGTCTCCAAGGTTGCCTCTCATGGACTCACAGTAAGGGTCCCATCTGGGCCAGTGCAGCTCCTCTGACTTGCCTCCTCCCCCCTATGGCATCGAGGGGACCCCTTTCCTTTCACCATCTCACATAAAACAGGAAACACCTCCTGATCACACAAGGTAGACTCGGAGGTGACAGCTGGGACAGACACCAAGGACTTGGGCAAGCTTCATGCACAAAGCCTATCCAGCAGAGCCCATCTTCAGACCCCAGGCTAGCCACAGACCTCTGAAAAGGGCAGCGGCAGAACCAGAGGTCCCATGGGAATAACTACCACAAATTTTTAAAAGGACACACAATGAGGAGCTAGCTGTCCCCCTCCCCAAGGAATAGAGGAACACAGTCAACAAACATACCCAGGTAAAAGCAGACACTCACCTGTGCTCTGACTTCCTGACTCCAAGCTGCTCAGGCCAAATGAGGAATGTCATTGGCTTATTCTGGTGAGTTCCTTAGTGCCCGCTGCCATAGGATACAGGCTTTATTTACCTAATGGGAGTCCTTTCCGCTCCCCTAGCCCAGACCCTGCACCGTCTCTGGAGAAAATCCCCTGAGGCATCAATCTCCAAGGCATCTAAGTTCCTTCCTGGGGCTGACATCCCGCTCAGCTCCTTCCTGAACTGGCTGGAAGAGCCTAAGCCCACGGTTTCTGTGGCGGCTCCAGCAAAGGTACATTATTTATCTCTGCTGCTGTTTTAATTGATAAAGAGATATATTCAATACAGCTCGCCAATTGTCTAGACAACCTCAGGCTGGAAAATAAACAGCTCCATGTGAAGGGCTCTTGTAGATTCTGGTTCTAGCTGCCGGCTCAGCGTGTTTGCAACTTGAACCCAACCAGGCCCCAACCAGCCCCAGCACTGCTCCGCCACCTGTCAGTTCTCCACCCTGGGGGTTGGTTCGGCAGGCAGGGATCTCCAAGCGCTCGCTTAACCTCTGGCTCCACCTAACGGCAAGAAATCCACATCCCCCTTTCACAGATGGACAAACTGAGCTTCTCCCTGGAAAGGTGCTCAAAAATTCCCAAGGAGCAACTGGCAAAAGAGACTAAGGGTCACCTACTTGGCCTCCCACCCAGCAATCTTCTTCCCTTGCCATCCTACAGGAGAAAAGTGATATCAAGTTTTTGGATAGCATCTTGAATTCCTCCAGCCCTTTGTCTGCGAATAGCACTTCACACACGTTATTCAAGCAATCTCAGATGGGTGAGTCACTAGAACGTCTGCTGAATAAAAGGGAACAAACACATAGGCCTGAAATGGAGCTGACAGACTGAGGCTCAAATGGTACCTAATGTCCCCTCTAGGATTCTAGCCGAACATCCACTCATCCTCGTTGACCTTTGCCTGGCTTCCCCATCACTTTTGTACAGTTAAAGCACTTCGGGATGGGGTGGGGAAAGCTACGTCGCGGGCTGGGCTTGCCAAGGGATGGTCTGCGCTCACCTTTAAATCAGGAGGCTTAGTTCGGGGACCCGGGTTGGGTGCCGCCGCCGCAGCGCCCGCATCTGAAGTTGGCCAGCCAGCGGAGTTAGCACCCGTGGCCTCCCCAGGCCGGAGTTCCGCGCCTGGCAGGTGGCAAGCTGCATCTTCCAGCCCAGCTCCATCCTCCTCACCCTGTTGTTGCTGCAGCTCGTCCGATTTGCACCTCTTCATGGTGTATGTGGGTCGGCAAGGGGAACCTGTCCTTCCAGCGCGCCGTCTTGGGGGAGACCGCACCCCCTCTTATATTCAGAAATGAAGACCTGGGGTCTAAATTATGGAGGGGAGTCAGCAGATCGCGATTTTTTTGAATTTAGAAAAAAAAATTTTTTTAAGGAGGATGAGGGAGGGGCGAGGAGGGGGAGCCTTGGAAGAGTTCATTCCGACCTGGGGAACGAAGGCAGGTCACAGTCCAAGCTGGGCAGCAGGAGTCCTTGGGCAGTCATTGCAGGGGAAGAGGAAGGCAGTCCCCGACCCCCAAACTTTCTGCTTCAGGGCATGGGCAGGGCGCAGGGGATCCGGGCGGCACAGCGCATCCCTCACCGTTGGCGGGGTTGCTGGGCGAGGCAGGGCACGGGGCAGCCGGCGGGGCAGGTCCTCGTTGGCCTCCCCCTGCGCCGGCTGCGGCCCCCGGCCCTGCCGCTGGCCCTCGCCCCGCATGGGCCGGCCGCGGAGCCCGCAGCGCGCCCGGCCTCCTCCCCTGCCCGCGCGCCCCGCTCCCCGCCGCCGTGCAGCCTGCTGCAAAGCCGCGGCCGCGGCCAGAGCCCGCCGCGAGCGCGCAACCTACCCCGCCCTGCGGCCTCCGCCCGCGAGCTGGAAGGCGAGGCGAGGAGCGAGTGACAACCGCATCCGGCCAATGGGAAGGCCTGAGGGCTGAGGGGGCGTCGCGCGGCCACGTTTTTGGGGTTGGTTGCACCGTGCGATCCCCCAAGAGAGGTCTGGAGGGCGACGTGCTGCTGCGTTTTAGCATTGCGGAGAGCCGGCTGCCGGGTAGGGGCGGGGGCTGCGGTCCACGAGACACATGGTTTGGGCAGCTGCTTGAGGGACTTTCCCTGGGGAGCCGTTCCCGGGATCCATCCATCCCCCACTCGCTATATTTGGCGGAGAGGGGCCACAATAGGGATGTTTATCATCACTGCTCTCACCCCGCCCTTAAATTTGCCTATTGTATTGTATTCATCCCTTCTGTGAGAGACACAGATCCCTTCCAGGATACTTGGTCGAGTCACAAACCTATGCTTACTTTCAGCCGCAAATGCTAAGGGGAGGGTGTAATCTGCCCCATCGCTCCTTTCCCCAGTTTAAGAGTCTTAGTTTTAGGCTCAGAAATTGGACAGTATTTCATATTAAAGGACAATAACGATAGAGTCCTTTGATTACTGTAAATGAGTATTGTTGTCAGGAAGTTGATACATACGGAAGAATAGAAAAGGAGTGATTCTTGCCCATAAACATCAGCCAAACGGCTGTAGCTTGAAGAGAGCAAATGTGGGTTACCGAGTTATGGGGAGTAGTAATAATGACTGTCTGGGTTCAAATCGCATGTCTGCTGTGTTTACAATGGATTTTGCTTATCCAGCAACCAGTGGTTCTCAAGGTGTGGTCCTTGGACCAGCAGCATCAGCAACCCTGGGAACCTGAGAGAAATGCAAATTTGACAGTCTATCTGGGGAATTCTAACAGGTTAACTTCCGAAGAACTTTGACCTAGACTGTGGTGAAAGGCCTTTCAAAGTCTGTGAGTCACAGTGATGATCTCTGAAGGATTTTATAGTTTACCAATCTTTCTCACACCCATTGGGCCATTCTACCCTCACTTCAGTCCCACTAGTCTATGAGTTTCCTGACTCTGTCTTCTTCCCATTCCAACCACTCATTTTAATGTGTATCCTAGAAGAGACTAAGTTGTTAAGAATTTACTACATGCAGGCAGCCACTTGCTAAACTAAGCAGCTCCTTTTTTAGAAGACAGAAATTTAGGATGGGCTGGGAATGCAGAACCACCCCCCACCACATCCACTACACAGAATCAGGCACAATTCGGAAACAGAAAGCTATAATCTTTTAGCATTTTCAATGATGAGGAATGGCAGAATGCCAGTGTAGATCGTGGGCAGGACTAGACAGAAATGGTGGGAGCAGATTTCTATGGTGCAAGGTGTAAGGCAGAGGAACCTATTGCCCCCTTCCAGAGTTGGCCCAGAGAAGTGCAGAGGCCCCACAGATCCTGGACAGGTCTTGGGTGATAAGTGGTGATGAATGAATGATAAGCACACATTGACAGTGTTCATAGCCTGACTCTAAATTGAAGAGAAGTGGAGGGATTCTTTGTGAACTTCTAAAGAAACAGAGAGCATTATAATTTTGAATTATGCCTCATTTCTTCTCCTTCTCTTCCTCCTTCTCTTTTTCCCCTTGCATTACCAGTGATTGAATCCAGGGTTGCTCTACCATTGAGCTATACATCCCCAACCCTTTTGTTTTCTTGAGATAGGATCTCATTAAATTGCCCACTATGACTCAAGCTTTCCTTAAATTTGCAATCCTCCTGCTTCAGCCTCCAGAGTAGCTGGGATTGCAAGCATGGACTGCTTTGGCGGGCAGGTATACCTCATTTCTATAATAGATTGAATTTGTTCTTAAGTTCAATTTTTATATTAACATATACTTAGAACATGATGGCCAAATTTCTTGTTTGTGGCCATATCTAACAAGGTGTGATGCAGATCATCAAAAGTCTGGTGTGTTTTGTAAAATCAACTTTTTTTTTTTGGTCTGAGGATTGAACTCAGAGTCTCATGCATGCTAAGCAAAGTGCTCTGCCAATAAGCAACACCCCAGCAGTAAACTCTTTTTTTAAAAAATACATTTATTTTATTTGTTTATTTTTACATGTGTTGGGGATTGAACATATGCTAGGCAAGCACTCTACCACTGAGCCACAACCCAGCCCTAGGACCCAGCATAAATTCTTTATGTCCTAATTCTCCAATAGTGATAATCATAATATCTACCTTTTAGAGTATTGGATAGTATATGTAAAACACTTAGACATTGCCTGGCACAGAGTAAGACCGTAGCTATCATAACAGATGTCCAGTTTCAAAAGGGTCGCCCATTTCATTCCAATGATTCTCTCCTGGGAGTTCAAATATGACCCACTCATTTAAAACAAATATGCTATTGCCCAAGAAGTTTGGGTGGGAAGACTGTGCAGAGAGCTAAGAGACCTGCAACCACCAGTTCAAAGTAAATGGCAAATTTTCACTTGCCATAGTAAACTATTGAGTATTTAAGATAAATAGAACTTTGACTGAACTTTTGTTTGAAGGACTGGGTCATTCTATTGTTCTACTTATTTAGGAAAATATAAACAAGCACAAACTATGTTTTGATAATCAAGATTAAGATAAACATTTGCAGATTTACAGTGTAAGTGGTTATATTTGGTTTTTAAAAGTAGTATTTCCATTCCATTTTGGCACATCTTGTTAATTGTAAGTAAATAGCATGGTGTAATGGGAAGAGTACTAGTCAGAAAACTCATATAAGAATTTTGGTTCTTGGGGTGGGGTTATGGCTCAGTGATAGAGTGCTTGCCTAGTATGCATGGGGCACTGGGTTTGATCCTCGGCACCACATAAATATAAAATAAAGATATTGTGTCCACCTAAAACTAAAAAATAAATTTAAAAAAAAAGAGAGTTCTGGCTCTCAAAAAAATTATATTTTTCTTACTCTTGGCCTGCTTAACCTCTTTTTTTTTGTTGATTGTTTGTTTGTTTTTATAGTTGTAGATGGACAGCATGCCTTTATTTTATTTATTTATTTTTCATGTGATGCTGAGGATCGAACCCAGTGCCTCATACATGCTAGGGAAGTGCTCTGCCTCTGAGCTACAGCCCCAGCCCCAGCCCCCTGCTTAACCTCTTTGACCCTTGTTGTTCTTCTCATCTACAAATAGGGCTAACGACATCTATCCCCATATGATTGCTGTGAAGATTAACTTGACAATGCATGTGAAAGCACTTGACACATGATATACGCTCAGTAAACCTGAACAAAACAAACATAACTAACTTGTTGAAGCCCCTTTCTCTGTTATATGAGAAAGGCAGAATTAACCCATTAAACTCAAAGCTTTTTGTGAACCGAAACCTTGGTTAAAATAATGAGTTGGACATGGTGGTACTCTTGTAATCCCAACAACTTGGGAGCTAAGCCTAGGAGGATCATAAATTCAAGGCCAGCCTGGGCAATTTAGCAAACTGTGACTCAAAATAAAAAATGAAAAGGGCTAGGGTGTATCTCAGTAGTAGAGCACCCTTGGATTCAATCCCCAGTACTGGTGGTGGGCTGGGGGTGGGGATGGGAACACTGTTGGTAGTATCAGATTTTGCTAAAACCAGTAAGTATATAAACAAGGATGATAAAGAGCAGGATTATGAAATCCTGCTCCCTTGCCAACATCCAGGTCATGTACTTTGATAAACTGATGATTCATTATAAGGTGTCAAAATCAACAGGTAAGTATAGGGAGTTTTGTTTTTTTTTTTTAATTTTCATCTTTTAATAAGAGCAATTAGGTCAGAGAAATAAAAGCCTTCTCTTTTACCAATAATAAGAGGCTTGCAGATTATTCAAGAAGTTCTGTTTTCTACCCTGTAGTAGTACCTTTAAAAAATTTTTAACATCAAATGGATAAGTAGTTGTCAGCTATTTAAGACTTAACATACTGAGTAGAGTGCTTAGAATGTAAAAGTACTTTCGAGAGGAACTAGATATAATTTTGATCACTGTATTTTGATACCAATATTATTGCAAATATTTCTTTGTTAATGTGACTTTCTTCCTTTTCTGTTGTAGATTTAACATTTCCATTCAAGGCTTTTCCTAAAAGAAATTGAATTCTGTTGGGTTAGGAGGAGTAAACTATGCAAATAATCATTAAGGAGATTGGCTGAATTGTCGATGATGTCACAATCCCACCACCTAAGTGTAAGGTTTTTATTGGCTATGATAAGAGGATGGGAGGGCAGGGAAGACTCTATATACCAGAATCGGAGAGGGCTCTGAGAGTAAACAAAATTTTTTTTATTTATTTACTTTTTTATTGTACTTGGAAGCATTTTACATGTTATTATATTTTTTATTCTATTCCATATGTTATTACTTAGTCATATTCTGTATTACTTAGTCATATTCTGTATATGTAAGTAAACATTTTAAGTGACAGCTTAGCCATCTATCAAGTGAACATTTCTTTCTTTTTCTTCTTCCTTTTTTTAATTTTTAAATTTTTTTTGCAGTATTGGAGATAGAACCCAGGGGTGCTCTACCACTAAGTTACATGCCGGTATATTTTTTATTTGGATACAGGGTCTTAGTAAGTTGCCCAAGCTGGCCTTGAACTTGTGATCCACCTGCCTCAGCCTATCAAGTACCTGGGATTACACGTGTGCACCACTGTGCCTGGTTCAGATCATGGTTTATTTAACCACTATCCACTTTATTCTTAGTCACTAAGAATTGTCTCAAATTTTTGCCTTTCCCCCCACCCCTGCAGTACTTTGGATTGAACTGGGGACACTTGACCATTGAACCACATCCCCATCCTCCCATCTTTCT